GATCCCCAGGCGATGTGATTTATTCACATATTTAAGTTTGAAAAGCACTGATCTAGACTTTTTGCTTCCTATCTGTTTTCAGGCAGCCAGGGCAGCCCAAATTCGCAAAGCCTTTTAGTCACAGGACAGTGGTGTCTCAGTATTGCGTCCTTTCTCTTTTTCCCCATTTGTCAATCACTTCCTTGAATTTCACCATGTGGCTGATTTCCCGAAAGTCACAATTCATTTTGGCAGCTTCCAAGAATTTCTCCCAAATACCACTGGTCCCAAAGATTGAATTCTCTCTCTTCTTTTTAGAAGAGCTGCTTTCATTGAGCTCCTCACAGAAACATTGACAAGATATCGATGCTACACATTTTCAGTTTCGTCCTTAGATCCATCTTTCTGCAGCTGAACTGCTGTTAGGATGGATTGCTCTTCTCCCCATCCCCGACATATGTCTCCGCTGATCTCACAATCTGCTGCATCTGGCAGCCCAAGTTTATGAAGTTCTCTATTCTTCTCCCAGTTTTTCTTTTACAGTTGTTACTCCACTCTTCTTCATTTCTCCGGTTTTATTTGGTTTTGATCTGATAGTCTTTATGCAAAAGGAAACTCTCAGTAAAGTGACATTTGTCCTTTATGTATATGGCTAATCAAGAATATGTCTTCCCTAGACTGACTCCAAGGGCTTTCTTCCATGGCTCCCACATTGCCACCCTGATGCGGACTTGGCGAGCTGAGGAGTCAAAAGAAAGACTTCTTGGACTCTGAAGGTCTGGTAGTAGTGCTACTTTATTCAGAGACTAGCATGGGGACAGGACCCATGAGCAGTGAAGAGCTGTAGCATGGGCCCAGGTCCCATGGGCAGTGAAGAGCTGCAATGCGTTGAGGATAGGGCTAAATTTATAAGGCATAGGTAAGGTGAGTTATCTCTTTACAAGACAAAGGAAAGATCATGTAAAAAAAGTTGTTAAAATGGTATCAGTGCAGGTGGGGTCTGGTTATTGGGTGGTCATATAACTTTGGATACGAATCAGGTCAGGACATCCTATACTTCCCAGAGGATGATATAGATCGGTATGCTGGCCAGAACACCTTGGATTTCTCTCCCTAGGGCAGCCTTGATCCACATCAACTCTACCCTATTAACAGAGATGGAACCATGTTTCCCATTCTCCATGATTTTGTTGGAAGGTTGCAGAGGACATCAATACATGAGGGTGTACACTCTCTAATGATCTTGAAGAAAGATAGAAAACAAAAGCACAAACCTAGCTACATGAGGTTCATTGCATCATGTTCATACAGATACAAAACGACTTAATTATGGCAAAGTCCCATCAATCACTATGGTAACTAGTGCATCAACCAAAAGGCCAAGGTCTGCTTTGTCCTCAAGGCAGCCTCTCCAGATTCTTCTCCTCCTCCCCAAAATGACTTGCTTGTCAACTGCCTCCGTGATTATGTTCAACTCAAGATTTTGTTTCATAGGGTTTGCTTTTATTTCTCCTTGGCAATTTCATTATTGCTGTGACTTCCATAATCTCAAGATCATGAATCACTTGAGCAAATAATGAGCGAGTAAGCTAAAATCCAAAGGAAATTCCTACAAAGCTGTCTTTTGACTCTATTTCCACACAGAGTGAGGTGTTTCTTCTCAAAGGATAATAATCTGAGAAACAAGATCTGGCCGGATCCACTACTTGGTTTCAAATTGCATACTATTTGAATATGTTAGAATAAACATTCTTTTATTCAATAAATATCTATTGAGTGCCTACTATATGCAAGGAACAAAAGAACAAAGGAACAACTCTTACAGCTAATTGATTTTTTTCTTATTTCTTCAAGCCTGTTCTTCTCAAATCCATTACAAGGGCCTCCCAACTAATTGAAAGGTCTCCACGGCTCTCCCTACGCCTGAACTGTTCACATCAGCCCTGGAAGCACTATCAATTCAGAAGAGGCCTTGAACACTTTTCAACTCCCCATGGAGGCACTCTTCCAAGCATCTAAAAGAGAGAGCTCTTGATGGCAAATCAAACATAATTTTAGTTAATATGTTTCTTAGTCATCTCAGTTTAATTTTTGTCCTCCCCCCATATGGACCATTTTTCATACTACTTCCAAGGGTAACAATTTCCCAGCCTCTTGAAATTCTCTGTGCTTAGCACTGTGGGACCTAATCAGGTTTTCTGAGCAACTCCACGCTGTGCTCTCAGCACTCTGGGACAGTGGAAGACAACTCTAAAATAACTGGGGGGGAATGTGTTTTTCTTTTCCTATTCCCAAGTATGTAGTTGGTTCTCAATAACTTTGCCTCTGATCTAGTAGCCAGTCATAAAACCCTGTGATCATATTGAGAATCACTGCCCCCAAGATGCACTGAAAGATGCTGAGAGACTTATGAAGCCAGACAGGGACTTGCACAAGACAGAGGCGGGGCACTCAAGAGAGCAAGTCTCCGTGCTGAATGCTGTATTTGTATGTCATCGGCTGAGCAGAGAGATGCACATGAGCAAATAAAATCTCATTTTGATGAAAGCCCTATTGGTTTAAGCTACCTGCTCCACTTTGGACTGTTTTCCTATTGAGATGTTCTTTAACTTGGAAGCACTCTTCTTTCTATTTTCCTAAATGTTCCCTGGTAAATTCTTCTCTTTTGCATATGGTAAGTTTTTGTTTCCAGAACCTTTCCTTCTAAACTTCCCTGGAGCTTCACACGACCTCTTTTAAGAGATACCATAAGAGAAAACACAAACAGAATTATAAAGTTTAGACAAATGCTGCCTGATTCTAAAATTAAAAACAAATAAGATTCAGCCATCACTATGAGGAAAAACAAACCTTATTAGTAATAATATGATGCTTCTGATACATTCCCTACTTTATACTTTGTAAATTAGTCTGCCATTCTCATCAGCCGCCCCTCCGGGTTGGCGAGAAGAGCATTGGCACCCCAGGTAGTATTTTTTTGGCAACCCCTCCCCAAAACAACAAAGCCAGTCCCCCACTGCTCTCTCCTCTCCATTCCTCAGGTCGCCCCATCTCTCTAATTGGTATTCATCCAACGCGGAACAGTAGCTATCAGTACTCCATGATTAACAGCCTTGTGAGACCTTGTGCTAGCAGCAAGAGTTGGCTCTTGTATCCACCATTTAAAAGGGACGCTTGAATGTGAGATTCTTGTTTCAAAGAGGTACAGATGGATGGCCTTGTGTTTCCGCCATCTGAGTGGGTCATGGGAGCAAGGGATGTATGGTGGAGAAGGTACACTAAATCCCTCTGCAGTGTCCCTCCCGACATTGCCATATCCTGGGGAACTTTTAAAGTTCAATCTGATTCTACATCACTCAAACACTGATAAATCACTGATTGTTTAGTTTTGCGATACCCCTTTGTATCTCAAAGGGCCTTATGATCTTCATTCACTTTTACTTCGAACGTTGATTTTTGTGCAATGAAGCTCCTTTTACCCCCACCAACCCCAAGTTCAGGATTCTTGCCCTACCTTGCAAGGACTTCACTGAGTCATAGCAAACAGGATATTCATCTGTATTTACAGATTTACTAGAGAGTCACACAGGGTTACACGCAGAATTCTACTTCTATTCTGAATGATGCTGAAGGTCTCTAGTTACAAAGAACTTTGCATGTCAAGACTATGATTCCACCATATGGGGCTCAAGGAGTTGGGCACAGGATTTCAGAAACATGTTTTGGGTCTCATGGAACTACCAAGTATGTTTAGATTGTACCAGATTTTATAAGCTATGGAGCAAATTGTAAATACTTTTGGATACTGGAGCACATTTTATAAATAATTCTGGCAGAGTTTTAATTCTCTAGGACTTCAGGGGTTTGTTATATTCCATTTTTCATTATTTGTTCATTTCCATGTGGCCTTATTTCTGCAAACATGATTTTTCGAAAAATGGAATTAGGTCCAGATTTAGCAAATACAAAAGGATGATTTGTAACATTTCTCTCATAAACTGGTTCTGAGCAAAGGCAAAATGAACTCATTTATACTTAGTGAAACATACTTGTAAATTTACACATGAAAGTTGAAGGGAAATTTGATATTTTAAATTTCACCAATCTCTACAGTTGCTCTTCTAACTTCTTCAAGGCAACTAGGCCTCTCTCTTTTGGTCAGTCTTATGCCCAGAACCCCACAAGGCCAGTATACTTGGCTGGAGGAAGCAATGACTAAGTGGCCCCAGTGACAAGTTCCTCTCAGTAGAACTATTCCTTTTTAAAGTGCTTCATACTCACCACCCTGCACGGGTTCTGCGGTCTGACTCAAGGAGAGAGGAAATGGCTCTACTGGCTAACGTCAAAAAAAATTCTGAGCTGTTCATACCATTATGCTCCCTCTGCCTAAAATACTCTTCAAGCAAATGTCGTGAAGGCTCACTCTCTCATCTCCTTCAGGTCACTCAATTGCCACCTGCTTAGAGATGACTTCCCTGATCACCTATTTAAAATTGCAACCCCTCCACACCGAAAATCCTATCCTCCTTCTCTGCTTTCTCGTTCTCCAGAGCCACTGCACACGCACGCACACACACACACACACACACACACACACACACACACACATACCCTACTAGGAGGTAGGTACCATGAGGAAAGGGATTTTTGTCTTTTTTGTTCACTCCTATATCCCTAGTTTCTAGAATAGTGTCTAGCACAAGAGAGACACTCAATAAATACTTGTCGAATAAATGAATGAATAGAAATCCATAAACAACATATATGTAAACACATTCTCACAACCACATTATCAGTGTCAAGTTCACACTCCCATATTCACTTTTCCCCTAGCCTTTGCCTCATTAAGACTGAGCCTATCCTTGATATATCCCTTTTAACCTGTTTTCATCTCCATAGAAAGATTTGAAGTTGGAGAAAATGCATTTCCATACACTTTACTGGAAGTAATTAGGAAGCTTCTCAAATGACTAACCTATGCCTTTACCTCCTTAACAGGGTTTCTATTCAACCGCCCCAGTTTGGATTCTGTCCCCACCATGCCATGCAACAGCACTGAAATTCTTCTCGCTCAATCACTAAATCCAAATGGTCAATTTTTCACTTCTTCCATCCTTCCTTCCTTTCTTTTTCTTCCTTCCTTCCTTCCTTCCTGTCTTTCGCCAGCAGGCCAGTTTGCTGGGGCTGGCTGCTCACTTCATTTCCTTGCCCTCCTAGTTTCTGAGACACCGCTGTCTCCCTCTCTGGTCACTTCTCCCCCGGTGGCTTGTGCTTGTCTGTTAAGTGCAGGGGTGTTCGGGGCTCAACTGACCACCTAAAACCAGTGGCTCCCAAATCCCTGTCTCCAGCCCAGTTCCTGCCTCTAAGTTTCACACTTTATTTCCACTCGCTCACTTACTATCTCCATGTGATGTCTCACAGCCCCTCACATTCCGCACACCCAGAACTGACCTGCTCTTCTCCATGTTCCCTCTCACTGGAGAGCACATCACTGGCGCAGCCAATTAATTTTAAAAGCTTGGAACTACTTTCATACAAGAGCAGTCAGCAAACAAGGATGGGAAAGTAGAGGCTTTAGGGGCAGACCAAACCTGGACTCAAATCTGGAACTGTGTGTGACCTTGGGCAAATGAATTAGACTCTCTGAGCCTTAACTTTCTCAAAGTTAAGGAGATATTTGTTATCAAAGGAGATATTTGTTATCTAATAACCATAATTACTTTTAAGAATTGTTGTAAGGACTAATTTAATCATTTTACAAAGAGAAATGTATCAGGTGCTATGCTAAGTACTAGGGTTCAACAGTGAACAAAATAAGTTGCCCACACTCTGGAAGACATGCTCTAGTGGATGATGAGTTAACTACGTAAAGCACTTAGCCTTAATCTATCAGAGTCCAGAACACAGTAGTTTCTCAATAAATTGAAGTTATTTTCATTATTATCACAGTCACTAAGATCTAGCAAATCCACCCTATCAACACCTATTAAATCCATACTAAACTTCATCCTCCCCTACCTCAGTTCTGGCCCTTAATATTTCTTGCCTGAATTATCTGTTGAAATTTCTCTCATTCTGCTATAGACTGAATGTTCATGTCCTCACAAAATTCATATGTAAACCTAATCCCCAGTGTGATGATATTTGGAGGTGGGGCCTTTGGAAGGTGATTAGGTCACAAAGGTGGAGTCCTGATGAATTGTATTAGTGCCCTTAGAAAAGAGACCCCCGAGAGATCCCTTGGCCCTTCCGCCATGTGAGCATGCAGCAAAAAGACAATCGTCTATGAACTAGGAAGCAGGATTTCAACAGACATCAAGTCTCCCCTCTGAGCTGGGAGTTAACTCTACCTTGTGAGGCTCACTCAAAGTTGAGAGATGGGTGGTTTCTCCAAAGCAAAATTAGCATACCATTTTAACAAGAAAGGGAAAGGAAATAATAACTAACACCCCAATATACAATCCTATGATCACAAATAATGCCCCCCCTCCCTTTTGTTACAGTGTGGCAACTAAAGATCAGAGGTTAAGCCACTTGCCAAGGATCGCAGAGGCCAGCTCTCTCTGGTAAGGCCATTGCTTCTTAACAACTGTCTATTCCCTTTGTCTTACCCTATTTCCTCAGCTGTGTAACTCCTAAACGTGCTCTGAAACTCAGCTCAAGTGTGACTTTCTTTTGGAAGTCTTTATAGATGCACTTTCTCTCTTATCCAAGCCGATAAATTGATATTCCAGTGAGCAATCCCCCTCTCCCATAACTTCCTCTCTATTCTTCCATAAGCCTTGATTTCTTGTTGGTCTCCACCAGAAAAACTATAACTTATTCATCTGTAGATCTCAGTGCCAGGTAGGTAGAGGGCTCAATAAATTTGTTGAATAACATTGAACTAACCTAACGCTTTAATGGCACAAAACCACATGAGATAGAGTTTAGGTTTCATTCTACATATGAGGAAACCTGAGGTTCTGAGAAGCTATATGTAACTCCCGCCCTCACAGGGTCTTAGACAAACCAGTATGGGAACGAGGTCAAGAGGGTCGGTGCTGGGGCTGCATAAGTTAGCTAAAAGAGGCTAAGAATGAGGTGAATTTGAACTTCAGTGAAGTGAGTTTGAATCTAGGTTCTAAAGAATGCTAGGAGTTAAGAGAGGAACAAGACAGAAAAATAGTATGCTTGGGAACATGTGGACATAAACCAAGCAAGGAGAGTTCTAGATTATTGCCACAAAACAGAGCTGTTCACATGTTCTGGATTTATATTTACTGGCTGTTGGGTGGGATTGGTCTGAAAATGTTGAGGCTAGGACTCAAGCTGAGGTCTTCTCCTCAAAGTCAAATGTTGTTTTTTACGTATAAAACTCTTGGTTTCCTTAATCCATTTCATGAATTGCAGAAGTCATTCTCATCTAACGTTTTAACTAATAACTTCCCTCAATCTTGGAAGATGATTAAGAATCAAGAATATTCACTTAAATAATTTATCTCCATTTTTATGTTAGCAGCTAAAGGGCAGGGGAGGCAGAAGAAAATTAGGAGGTATGTTACTTCAAATACCATGACTAAGAGGGTGCATCTTATATCTCTGGAATTCAACAGGGCCGTCCCCTGCTGCCTAGTCTTGCGAGGGACAGAGGCTCCTAATTCTGGAAGACCAGCTGAAGAGCTGACTGCTCAGGTCATATGCATTGTTCTTACCAAGGCTTCCCAGAAGGCGCTGATGCAGAGGGCAAGAAAACTGCCTTCCAGGAAGAGTAAGCTCTGGAGAGAAATGACCCTGCGCTTCCTGGGGAAAGGTAAGAATGATTCACGAGAAGGCAAACATGAGTAAATACAACACAATGACAATATTTGGGCCTACTGAAAACGTGATTTGGAGGACTTTTTTATGATTCCTGTTTTGGGAGAACGATTTTAAAATCTTTCACTGGCCAAGGCAGACCTGGTACTGTTAGCTGGACCGATTAATTTTACATCTGTTCTAACACAAATAGCCAACAGGCATATTATTTCCAGATTCCTAAAGATTGGTGAATAGCAGTGGAATTAATTCTTGAGTACATGTGAGAACATGCTCTCCTTCTACTTATAGCCCATCGCATTTTTTTCTTGTGGACGACACTCAAGCAGAGCTTCCATTCACAGTCCCTGATTTCTTACTAAGACAATTTGATCCTTTGGAAAATTAGAACTAAAACATTTTGGAGTTTCTATTCCATGAACTACAAATATTGCGAAATTCACCAAAACTGTGACCTTGGATTTTGTTTAGATGAGCTCCTAACAACAGAACTATTACAACAAACTATGTGTTAACATTTGGTTTTCTTCACAGTTTACTCTCTCTATCCAAGTCTAACCCAAATGGGGGAAGGGGATTTATGTTTTTTTAAGTATTCCATTTCATTAGGTACTTTAGCATTGAATTGAACACTATTCAAATAGTAAGAATAGAAGAATACCACTGGAATCCTAGGACTTCAGAGAATATGAAGATGAATTAATTACAGTCATTGCCCCCAAGAAATTTATAATCTAACGGGAGGATAAGACAGTAGGCTGTGATAACTTACATAAGAGAGCTTCAAACAGAATATAATGTGGATTCAAAAGAAATAGATGGGTTGAGAGATAGAGGTTGTTGCATTTGAGAAGGTCCTTGAAGGACTTTAACAGGAATATATCGAGGGGATGGAGAGGAATAGAAAGTTGTGGAAGACATCTCAGAGGGCAAGAAAGCATGGGACACGCCCATCCCCTTGCCCATGGTCTTAGACATTGATCTATAAGAACTGCATGACTTACCCTTTTCTGAAAAACCAAATTGAGTATTAAAACTGCTCCATAGATTTTTAAAATTTTGTTTTGTTTTAATCATCACTGCTGTTGATCAGTAATCAGAAAGCAAATTCTTAATGCTATCCAGGCACAACAATCAAACGAACCCGAATAAATCAAGCTAGTTGAATGGCTAATGCAAATACATTGGATCTTCTATTTATGATTTACTTTGTTATTTGCCAATAACCCCAAAGTTGTGGCCCATGAATAAACAACATGTAAGAAGAGCTCAGAGTGAGAACTTCCCCTCAGTCCATGCAAACACGCTGTTATGTAAGACCACTGCCTCAACTTTACCGACAGGTGATCCAGCAACCATCCCTCTGAGAAATATTTGGGGTAACTATTTATTTGTCAAGTTTTGTCACCCGATGTTCATCTTCCCTTTCCCAATGATATATCTTTCCTTTGGAAATGTTGCAGAGAAAAAGCACGCCTAATATAATATACATGATAATAACCCAGCAGAACTAACTGTAACCAAGGAGAGGGGCTTCATCTAGTACAAGAGATGAACCTGGACATCCTCAGTGTCCTATCTCTCTCCAGGTTGTCCGGACTGAAAAGTGGGGCTAATTCAACTCACCTAGGTAACTCACAGAAACGATGGGAAGATTAATTATTCAGGGTTCATTGAGTGCTTTCAATATGAAAAGCACGATGTATGTCACAAACAGAGGGCTGGGACTTCAGGGGAGACAATAAACAGAGGGCCCAGATGAACTTTTAAAAAACAAAGGCCCTATTCTCATGTAAATACTCAATAATAAAGGCTATGGAAAGAAAACTGCTGGAAATATAAAAATATAAACAGAATATTTTCCATGAGGAGTCAGCAGATTTTATCAAGTTAATAAATTATTACAATAGAGTATATAAAATCAAACTCAGGCAGAATCAGACCAGAGAATATAATGTGTGGCTGCTGGGATTTCCTGGTGGGAAAGATTTCATTGATTTTTGTAGAGCATTGGATCTGGGAGATTTTTAAATTAGACGGGGATGATGACCCAGTTTGGGTGGGAAAAGCTTAGAGGAACCCAAGGAAGAATACAGCCCAAGAAGTCTCTGGAGGTACAGCTATTTTTAACCTTTCAGACTTGCATGACATGAAGAGAATTTTGAAAACCGAATGCAAAAAGGAAACATTTTAAGAACTTCAGTATCTATTTCTCATTGTCATGACCCTAGCATAGAATTTAAAAGGACAGGCAAAGTTTATTTACAATTAAATAGGGATTTGAGAAAAATAAAATTGAGCCTGTGTTTTTATTTTTACCAGTATATGAGGAAACAAAGTTGGGTGAATTTTCTCTTAGACTGTGATTTCACTAAGAAATGCTTGTGCGAAATAAAGATCATAAGCATCAAATACAAAACATATTTGAGGTAACCAGACTGAATTTAAAAATCAGCGGACACATTATAGGAGAACTAAGAACTTAAAAAATAGGTGTATCAGTTAGCTATTACCAAAACAATGCTGCATAACAATCAGGAAAACTAGTGACATACAATAAGCACTTGTTCTCATGGTTCTGTGAATCAGTTGGGGTGGTTCTGCTTCACACACAAGGCTGGATCTGCTCCACGTGCCTCTCATTCTCCTTGAACAAGTGAGCCAGCCAGAGCATGTGCACCTCAAAACTAAACTAACTCAAAACTAAAACTTCCACCCCATTCTGTTAGCCAAAGCAAGGCATATTGCCAAGCCCAAAGTCAAGGAGCAAGAAAGTACACTCCATCCACATCATGAGGATCCAGCAAGGATGTGAAGGCAAGGAAGGGTGAAGAACTGAGCCTAAGAATTCAAATGACATTTTGTTTCAAAGCTGCGTATCAAAAAAACTCTGGAAAAATGGTCCAGAGACAGATCCAGATGGACCTGAGATACAAAAACACAAACTTTTAACAAAATATTTGTTATAATGATGATGTTTTCAATTTCTTTCCATCTATATGTATGTTTTCATTTGCACATATGACAACTCTTACGGCTGACATGAACCTATTCTCTTCTTACTGACAAAAAAAATCTAAGGCATTTTTCTTTTTAAACTTAAAGAGCTTTAGAATGGCTCTATAATATGGAAAGCTTAGATTCTTTGAGAAGCATTCCCCACACACTAAAAGATTTTGAGAGTTCTGTTTCTGCATATCACAACTAAACTTTTAAAAAGGGTTCTAGCAAGTTACTGCCTCCAACCATAGAGGTGAATTTTACCTCCACAAATTTTGGGAGTTTCAGCTAAATGAGAAATGGAGGCAGCAGCCCCAGGATTTTTACACCATGTTCACCAACTCAATAAAACTCACAGGCCCTCAGAAAAGTTAACTCCTAAACACACTTTTGAACTCAACTACCCAGAGAATATTTTCTATCAGCAATATCAGCAGTCCTGGTACAAGTTATCTTTTATCACCAAGATTATTAAAAATAGTTTCTTAAAAATTAACTTTAAGAAATCAGATAGAAATATTGCTAAAGAAACAAGCACTCTTCTACACCGTTGGCTGGGGAGTAAATTTATGAAAATTTATGGAAGGCTGTCTGGCAATACGTATCAGTTATTTAACTGATATGTAAAAATATCACACCTTTTGACCAATATTTCCACTTGTAAAATTTACCTAAAATAATTAGCAAAATACAAAAAGAAGGATACATAGAGTGTTCATTGTTCTATTGTTTAAATTATAAAAAAGGAGAAGCTACTTAAATTCTCATCAATGGGGAATTTGTTCAATAAGTAATGATGCTTCTATATCGTGGAATATCAGATAACTATGAGAAAAGGCAAAGCCAATCATGTTAAAATACCCAAGATATATCATTGACTTAAAAGCAGTGGGTTAAAGACCAGAATACTATGTATAACATTTATATATATATTCATAAATACATGTAAATTCTATATGTGCTTATGTATGTGCGAGAAGCTATACAGTGAGCTGTTAATGATTATCTCCAGGAAGAAAGGGTTGTCTTGAGGGGGTGGAGGGAATGATTATTTTATTTTTGCTTTTTCTTCATATACTCCTACATTATTTGAATTATTTATAATGAATATGTGCTACTTTCATAATTTTTTTCAACTAAAAATACCTTTTCACTATTTTTATTTTCTCTGTCCTCCATACCACGTAAACACAATAAAACCCCACCAAAATCCCACATGTGCAGAAACCAAAATATTCGATTGAGCAAAATGTGTTACTGTAAAGTTTGGGGGAGCCTGCACATCTAGCTGCTAGTAGTTCTAGGTCAGGTGCTGATCCAAATATGATTTGGTCCAGGTCTGGTTTGTCTACTAGCAGTGGTGTCTACTCTGGTTTAAATATCAATAGGGACAATTCTGGGCTCATGGCTGGCTACGATGTCAAAGGCAGTTCCAACCATCCCAGTTACCTCTTGATTAATTGATATCCATTTCACAGCCACAGAGATAAGTCTAGAAAACTACTAGGATGTGGTAAAACACTCTTTGCCTCCCTACTTCCAAAAATTGGGTTACCTGCCACTCCCCTGGCCAGGCCTCTATCCCAACCCACCGGCACCCCTGCCTCCAATATAAGAAATTTAGCCTGCCCCTGTTTGAGAATGGGGCTGAGTTTGGACAAGAGCCAATGCCAACCCCTCTATCTGATCTTACTTACCATGGGTTTACCATACGTTTAAATCATAGGTCCCTAACCAGATTGCTTTCACGCATTTTTTCCACACCATTCCATTCCATCCTCTCCCAGGGAGAATTTTTTCCCCCTATTGGCCCTTAAAGAGGCAGTTCAAATGCAGTCTTGTTTATAGAAAGCCAAGAAATTCTCATCCTCAGCTCTGAAAATGTTTCAGTGTCTTCTCTGATCTTACCCACTACTTTGTACTGCTATCAATGCACAGAGAGCACAGTGTCTTGCCCTGTGATTTGTTGTGTACATTTCTGTCTTCCTAAAAGGT